CCCGCCACCTTAGGTGTACGTGGCTGGCGCCTTAGCCGGTTGAGCTATAGGCGCCGAGCCAGGACTATCTATTTCAAGGCAATGCACAATGAGTTCCCAGCAATGGTCTCATAAAACCTGAAGTCTCCTTGTTAAAGATTATTTACCACCAGTGAGGCCTACCACTCCGTGCAGCTAAGTTTATCAGCAAGGACAAAAACTGCAGGTGACTGTAGCCTGGCTTCATGACCAGGGTCCTAATATACTCAACCTAAGCTGCTTCTTGTTAAATATGAAATGCCCCAGATGTCTTTCAAATTAGTAGGACAAATGAATTTAAGTAAATAAACATAAGTGTGGTTTCACCTGCTATCATTTGCACAATACTTCTCTCTAATCTCTAACTCTGCCACTGTACCCCCGTCCTATGCTCCAGGAAGGTAGCTCAGACTGCACCAGCCACATCACCTAGGATGACTTAACCACTAAGTTAGGGATATCGTCTGAAAAACTAATCCAGTCTGCATGTTTGTGCCTTTACTAAACTCCACTGGAGCCTATGCCTTACCTGTCTTTTGTTTTTGGCTTTTCCTATTTCACTTTATAGTTCTTCTATATCAATATGTTCAATTCCTTGTTAGCTCATAGGACCTACAAAAGGATCCTTAAAAAGGTGAACCTTACTCTGTCTCCTGGTCTGTACACTATTTTCTCCTAAATGTTTGTTCTCTTTCATGTCATTCTGCTCTGGAATAGGACTCAATTGAATTATAAGTTTGGTCACCAAAGGAGGCTAGGCTGGGGTGGGGTCGCAGAGGGCTAGGAGGATGTGCAAATCCAATCCAGTATTCAATACCAGGTTATTCATTCCAAATTGTGTTGTCCCAGGAAAGTGCATAACTGGAGCAAAGGCATTTGTCATTAAGCTCCTTCCATCCTTAGTTGACTAGGCCAAGAATTCCTCCTGATGTGTGTTCCCTGCCCCATCTGCAAGCAGGGCCAGCATTTCAGGGATACTCAGGCCTCTCGGGAATTACCTGTGTTTGTGTCAGTCCTAAGGAAGCTGCCAGTTCAGCTCTCTCAGGAAGGGCCAGGTATTGAGTTTGCTGAAAGCGATGGTTTAAAGCCTGGAGCTGAAGGCTGGAATAAATGGTCCGAGGCTTCCGAATCTTTTTCCCTTTTCCATTGAACCTGATTTCCCCATTTTCAATCACTGTAGTTTTTTGTTGATCTGCAAGCAAATGATACAGAGAAATGGTTACGGTGAGGCCACTGCTGCTGTCTCCCTGCATGTGGCCTGGTCTGCCCCAGGTTTCCCCCAAAGCCCAATAAGGTTCCCCCCTCCAAAAAAACTCTGGCCTCTCTGAGTCTACGGTGCCCGTGTGCTCCCGGTGGGTTGCAGAAGTTTCTCTCTGAGCCTGTCTCTGGCCCAAACAATACGTGGTGGCTGGGCTGAGGTTGCGCCCAAGGCCCTCAGGCAAACAGAGGGCTCTGCCTCCCCGGAGGCAGTACTGGCCCTAAGGGGCGCAAGGCGCGGCTCTACTAGGCTGCTGTTCTACAGGCGGAGCCAAGGCCCTCGGCCTGGCTTTACAGTGCCCAAATCTGTACTTGAACTACCCAGGGGTTTTTGCAGCCAGTTGAGTTGATGTCACTAGCTCCAAGCCCGGTGCATCAGCCTCCCTCGGCATGTCTGAGATGATTCTTCCAAGAGAGGCCAAAACCCCGAACAAAACACAACTAACCGCTCAGACCTGCCCTCGAGCAAGCTGCGCCTCTCACAGCAACTCCGTCCCCCTTCGGGGCTGAGAACCATCAGCCTGAGATCCTCTGCTTAGCCTCCAGGAACAAAGAAGCAGCCAATATTGTATCAAAAACCCAGAGGGAGGGGGCCAAGTCCAAGATGGGGGTGGAGGACACCTAAAAGTCTACAGAAAAGAGCCCAATTGTCAATAGTTTAACCACAGCCAAAGGCCACGCCAGCTTCCCACCGAGTCACTGAGACGCACGGGGCGCCCCACGCAAAGTAGGCCACTGCCTGCCCAGCGTGGGCTGTGAAGCAAAACACGCTCCCCAGTTCTGGCCCAGAAATGTCCCAGTCCTGGCAAAGGTGGGTTACAGCTTGGAGAGAAGAAGAAATGGAAAAGGGCGCACAGACCCAGTGGAACGGAGAGCGCAGTGAGGACCAACTTGTCGAGCGATGCCTGCAGCGAACCCGGGGCGCAGCCCAAGCCGCTCGCGGGAGGCGAGGGAGCAAGGAGGGCCGCGCCTTAAAGAAGCCGGGGGTCCGCGGCGGCGGGAAGGGGCCCAGCTGGGAGAGGCCGGCAGGCAGGCGCCAAGCTAGCGGGCGCACGCCGGGCCAGGCGGAGGGCGCGCCGGGCCGCCTGGGGGAGGGGGCCGGCGGAGGCCCCGGCGTTGAGGAAGTGAGCGGGGCGGGCGGGGTGGGGGGCAGTCGGGAGGCGGGAGAAGCGAGCTGCCCCGGCGGCCTCTCACCTGTGTCGTCCCCTCGCGTCTGGGCGGCCGCGCTGCTGTTGTGGTAGGACTGGAGGTAAGGGCTGTGCTGCGAGTGGCTCATGTAGGGGTGGGCGGCGAGCGAGCGGTGGTTGTAGGAGTTGCCTCCGCCTGACGCGTAGGGCGAGCCGTGGTGGTGGTGCTGGTGGTGGTGGTGATGGTGAGAGCCGGCCGCCGCCGCCGCCGCCGCCGAGTGCAGGCAGTGCAGAGGGTAGTGCGCGCCTGCCATGGCCGGGGAGCTCTGCTGTGAGTGCGGCTGCGGCGGCGGCGGCGGCGGCGGCGGCTGCTGTTGCTGCTGCTGCTGCTGCTGTTGCTGCTGCTGCTGCTGCCCGAACTCCATGAAAGCGGATTTGGACGAGTCCTGGCCTTCCAAGCCGTCAGCCATCGTAGTCATGGTCATCATCAAAACTTTGGGGGCTGGAGAAAGCCTTCTCCCGGGTTTCCTCCACCCTCCCCCACTTGGCTCGCGCCGCTTTCCCCTCTACAGCCACCTTAGCTCTTTGGATCCTTGCAAAAAAATTAAAAAAAAAAAATTTAAAAAGAGGGGGCGGAGGTGGTTCTCCCTCTCCCTCGCTCTTCTCTAATATATATATTTTTAATATAAAGAGATATAGTGAGCGGGGCCTTGTTAACTCAAAGGGAGGAGGAAGGGGGAGGGATGGGAGAGGAGAGGGGGAGGGGGGAATCTGCTCTCTCCCCCCCTGCTTTCCCCCCTTGGATTTTTTGGGGGCTGGTGCAGTTTAAGGCAGAGATTTTAAGGTGGATTCTGCGAAAGTTGCGCGTCTGCTTTCAGACTTGATGCAGACGCCACGAGTCGAATGGTTTGTCTCCAAAGGGCAGCGCCTCCCTATTGGTCAGTCGCCCCCTGACGTCACAGGCGCACGGCTTCTACTGGCGTGTGCGCCGCTCGCGGAGTTCTTCTGCCTACCTTCCGCAAACTCCAATCCCAGCCCCGAGCTGCAGCCGGGGGCGCTCCGCGCGGTGTCCGCGACCGCCGGGAGGGAGGCGCCTCCTCTCGGGCGGACACCGATGCTCCTCGTTGCAGCTCGTGTCCCAAATTCCGAAGTCCCAGTTCCTAGTGTCTCAGCTCTAAAACAGCCTGGCCGGGGGGCTGTTCTCTGTCTCAATCCTCTTCCACCCTTGCAGGCTGCCTGTGCGCAGAAGCGGTGCCCCCTACATTTAAATCCAGGCCCCCTCCCTTGACCTCCCTCCTACCCCAGTCCCACTACACTCCCGAGGGAGCGCCTTGTCATCGTGGATTTTTCTAGACGTACTTTATTGAAACTACAGAGGGAAGAAGAACCCCCACACCTGGGCTCCACTCCATAGGGGGGTGGTAAAGAAAAAGAAAAATCAGACCGTGTTCTGGCGAGGTTCCTGCTTGTTCCAGGCCATATTTTCTATATATTGGACCAGAAGGAGGGTCAGGGGGCTTTTTTCTTTTTCGCCCAGAACGCATCAGCCTTTTCTGAAAACGAATCGTTGGAGGGCTGACAGTAATGCATTTTTTCCTATTGAAAACAGAAGCTACTGTAATGCTTTCAAATATATGCAAATGATACATGCGGTTAGTGGTTTGGCAAATCTTGATTACAATATAAACTACCCAAGTAAAAGTGCCTTCGTCCTAAATTTGTCTCTCGATTACAATTCCAATTGATTTTATTTTATTGTCAACATTGTTAATGATAAAAATAGAGTCGTTTTACAGTTATTTTTACTTTCTGGAAGGAGGCAATTAGAGTTCTAATCAGGAATACACAAAAATCTCCCATGATTAACTGCAGTACTTTGTTCAAATTGCTGCTATAAAATTCAGAACAATTTGCCTGTAATGATTATGGACTGGGTTTATTTTGGGAGGTGGAATAAAAGTGGATATAGCATAAATTATCCTCTAATTATACACCAGTGTCGCCTCAATTATCCTCTTATCAAAATGGTTGTCTAACTGCCGCATTTAGTTTCAATTCTCTCCTTTTTTTCTATAAAAAGAACTTCATACCTTGTTATTATTAATCCATTTATTATTTGCAAGGGGATTTATATCCGCACATCCAGGTGGTAGAACCACTTCTCTTTCAAAGATGGACTGGGGAAAGACATTAAGTTCGGAGCAGCCCAAGACTGTGGATCTAGCCTTTCTCCCTCCGGTCTCCAGACCCACTCTGGTCCAGGCAGCGGAGCAGAGACAGCAGAACCCCGGCACGCAGTTCAGGCCCGAGCACCAGGTAGGAAGGCCGGACCCAGGACCAGGCTCCGAGGGCGGCAGATCGGGCCACGCCGAGGTCCTGAGTCCAGAGACTGTGGGAAGGCTTGGGGAGCCGGTGTTGCCAGGGTATTGAGACCTGGGTGAACAAGACCTGCAGACCCTCCTGGGTCTCCGTGCCCACTGTTCCGTCTGCGCAGAGACCTAAGCTTTGAGCCTTTGGCAACATGGAGAATTGTACAATATAACAACCCTGTGTTACCCTGTCCGGAGGTTGAGGGCACAAGTCCGTCTTGCTTTGGGAAAATTATTGGGAACTTTTTTGCATCCTACTTCGCTTGGACCCCATAAATTATAAGACCCAAGGAAACCGAGAAATGGAGAAATGTTGCGGCTTGCCCCTGTAACTCCATAAAAAGGTGGCTGCGTGACAGACCTGCATGGACCCTACACGTTGCGGGAAGCTCGCCACCAGCGGTTTATGCTAATTGATATTCCCAGCTCTCAGCCGGGGGTCTCCAGGCATCTCTTGGCCAGTTTGCCTTTTTCTTTTTCCTTTTTTCCTTCTTTTTATTTATCAGAAGACCTGAAGCTCTCACCCAGCAGCCCGCAGCCGCAGGTTTTCTTCAGAGTTCCCAGGTCAGCAGTGTTTGCTCTCCTCTCCCCCTCCTTTTCCCAGCCCTCCGTGCTTAACTTTTGGAGTCTCAGGAGCCGGTTCAGTAACTTTGAATTCATTTTTAAGCTGCGTGCCTAGTTCCCCTCCTTTTAACAAGAGGTGCACTTTAACACGCGAACCAGTAACCCGATCCACACGTTTACAAATCAGCAGTGAATTAAAACAACAAAAAACTTCAAGGAAAATGAAAGGTGGAATGGGTAAGGGGTAAATGCGGGAGGGGGGCACAAAAGGGGAGATCAGGTAAAGGTCCCCCACTCCTTTCACCCCACTACGCTTAGGGCGCTCTCAAATGCACCCGGGCTGTGCGCGGAGACTGTTTGTAATGTCCTCCGAGCCAGCAGGTAGACGTGGCAGTTTTATTGTTTTATACCCTGCAGCTTGCTGTTAACACGGCAAAGGTGTTTTGCCCCCCTGTGCTTGCCTGTTTCTCCCTTTAAGCTTGCAGGTGCAATGCTTTTCTAGACAGCTTCCCGCAACTCTGGCCGCACCCCGAGCAAGGTGGGTTGGGTCGTGGAGGGCCAGGGAAGATCCGTGCACTTGAGCACCAGACGAGTAGTGCAGCAGCCTCTATTTGCAAAGGGATTTTTTTTCTTGTTTGGTGTCTGAGGAAGCCCAGCGGGCTGGGCTTGTCTTAGGTGTAGCTTAGCGGCTCGCTGCACTCCCCATTATGCAGTGGATAAAATCCTTTCCTTTCACTCTGTTCCAGTGGAGCAGTGTGCAACTGCACCGAGGAGGCAGCTGTTGCGGGTGGTAAAGGTTCTGCTGAGACCTACTAGGGGACGCAGGCTGGGCTTAGACAGAGCGTCAGGGGCTGGGGAGTGGAGCCATCAGGGTTCGGTCCCTCCTGGCTTGATAGCGGTTTCTCTGTGCGTGTGCGGGATAGAATCTAAAACGCAAGCCTTGACCGTACGACTTTCCTGGTAGTCCTGAAAATAGAAAGCCAGAGAGCTAATATTGCCCGCACACAACGCTCCAAGGTGACGCACCGCGAGTGGCTGCCACGTGTGGCCTCTGCCACCAGGCACTGCCTGTACTTTTCACCGGGCAGAGGCCGTTTCACAGCGGGAGCCGCTCTGGGCGGTCATTCCCCTGCAATTGCACTCCGCCGCTCTGCTTCCCGGTCCTTCCCGCAGTTTCTTCCGGGGCAGTAAAGAGCCGAAGCTCGGAGATTGAAGTCACCCTTAGTTTGCCCTAGTCCAGCCCGCACCTCCAGTCTGTCTTCGAGAGGTAAAAGCTCTAGTCTTTCAGGGCCTTGTTGGAAGGCGCACACCTCAGGGGCTCCAGGCTCCGGCGCCGCATTCGGCGCCAGGGAGAGTCCTGGCTCCTAACTCTTTGTCTCGCCCGCAGGGAACCCGGACTAACCCTTGCGGGTGGGAAGAGGAAAAGGACAGACGAGGCCTGTGAAGCCTTTATCATTCAAAAATAAAAGTAAACTCCGCTATCTGGCCTGGGAGGCCTAAGGCTCTTTTAGGGTTTGTACTAAGTAGGATCATATTCACTTAGAAGTTTAAGAGGCAGGATTTGAGGCCTAAGCTGCTTTTTGCTTTTTAAGGCATTGAGGTATTAGAACTTGCATTGCAAGTGTCCGTGTTATTTAGCGAGAGATACTTGCATATTGCCGACAACATGAGACCTCCTGGGTCCACTGAAGGCCACTGTTGGAGCAATGCCTCCAGCTGTTCCAATCTGAACTGGTGTTTGCCCACGCAAGTAGACCTGGGAATGCGTTGAGTGTCCAAGGTGGTTTTGCAGCCTCCTCTGGCTGTAGAAGTACATTCAAGCCAGTCAGGGCCTGGCTGGGTTTTGTTGCTAAGTTGAGCTCAGTTATCACGTTAATTCTAAAGAAATTAGACCTGGATAAATAGCTTTTGAATTCAAAGAAATAACTTGGTATTGATTTACACAGCCATGGGATTGTGGATAAAATCCCTTCACTCTGTTCCAGTGAACCCCCTTCTCAACAGGAGACATTGGTGGAAAAAAAAAATTCTTGCTAGTCCTTTCCTCATTCAGAGTACTGTAAAATTCTGTTTGTGCATGTGTGTACAGAAAGGGTGCCTGATATCCTGAAAACCAGAACACCTTTCTCCCCTCCCCCAACACACGCACCTGTGAAAGCGCCAGAGCACGTGGAAGCTGCCTCTTTCCCTTTCTTAGAGCAAGCCAGTGGTGGTATCTTCAGTAGCCAAAAGTATCAGCCCATGCAGAGTAAGCAAGAAAACCCTAGACTTTGGTGTTATTTTCTTTAATGATAAAGCTATAATGTCCATATGAACACCTTCTTCTCTCAGATTCTTTAAAATCCAACTAAGAATCAGGTTGTTTATTCCATACCCAAAAAGAGTTTCAGTGAAGTTTGGGGACATATCCCTCATCTCTCCAGTCCTTGGTACCAAGAACAGGCAGCTGGGAAACTCCAACATGTTACTTCCTCCTCTGGGGGAGGGAGCTTTACAGAGTTTTTGATTGAATTTGGAGACTATTAACTATGCATGCCCCAATCTAGAGGCTCTTTTTCCAGGCATTTTTAAACCTAGAGTCCAGTGGAGTTATGAAAATGAAGTGAATTGGTCCTCAAGATGAATGCCATTTGCCTCCTGTCTCCATTCCCAGGTGTGTGAGCACCTAAGAATTTCTTAATAGAATAGATATATTGGACCTTGAATTGATTCTGGGAAAAAACCAACACATGTTTCTACATTCCCTAATTTTGGGATAGCATAGGAAGGCTGTCTGCCTGTTTGCCCTCCTCTCTTATCTCTTTTCTCTAGTGTAGGACCCCACTTTCTAATACACAAGCATTCTTCTTTTTCCAAGCCCAGAAAAAAAGAACTCCTCAGTGTTTAAAAACTTAAATTAAATCAAGATAAATGCCAATGTTTGTCTTTGTAATCTGTAGGCTAAGCCAAGGCTGAGCGCCCCCTTCCATAT